TTTTCCCAATAAAAAAATTTACAAAAAAACCCCAAAACCCCCCCAAAAAAACCAAAAAACCCAACTTCTTTAGAGATAAGCAATTTATAAAAATTGATCCAGCAGGATTGAGGAAAAAAAAGAAAAAGAAGTATAAACTTACAATAACCAAGATTAAAATTGAATAGGTTGATTCAATAGCAAATTAGGTAGATTCTAAGAGTAAATTAGTGAAGCAGAAGATAAAATACTTTAATATGGACTGCATCTCAACCTTTAGGAAACAAAAATTCTCACCACTGGAGTGTTAGCAAGATCATGATAGATGAAGAAAAGACTGAAACTGCCAACAACTTCATCTTATTGGATCCACAATCAATACATGTGGTATCAGCATCCAGGAGATCAGGGGATGTACTGTATTGGAAAACTCTGCAGTCAGGGATCTCTCCAAATTACGGAAGAACAATAATGTTAGCCTGAAGACTAAAGTGTGCCTGATTCAGATCATGGTCTTTTCAGTCAATTGATAAGTTGTTGAGAGCTGGACAATCAATAAGGATGACAATAGAAGAAATTGATGCCTCCAAACTGTAGGGTTGGAGAAAAGTACTGAATATCCCATGGACAGCTAAAAGAACAAACATAAGTCTTGGAGAAAGTGCAGCCAGAGTGCTTCTTGCAGGCAAAGATAATAAAGCTTTGTCTCACATACTTTGGCATGTTGATATCAGAGGCTTTTCCTTGGAGAGGGACATCATAATTGGAAAGGTGGAGGGGTAGAGAAAAAGAAGATCCTCAACCAGGTAGACTGAAACAATGACTGCAGCAATATGAGGCTAAAGACAGAATTCTGTACAATCAATGATTAATTCACTGCAAATACCTTTTACAAGAAACACAGTGACTGTACACATGGACCTCACCTGACAGCCTATTCAGGAATTGGATTGATTGCACCTGTGGGAAAAATAGTTGGAGAAGCTCAATATCCTCTATGAAAATCAGGCCAGGTGCTTATTGTGGATCAAGTAATTAACTAATCATATGCAAATTTAAACTGAAGCTAAAGAAAATCAAATTCACAAGAACCGAAGTGTGACCTTGAGTCTATCCCTCCAGAATTTAAAGACCATCTCAGGAACAGTTAGAAGAATACTAAATGAGCAAAGACCAAATGAGCTGTGGGAGGTTACAAAGAATATCATCCATGAAGAATGAAAAATGTCATTACAAAGATAGAGGAAGAAAAAAAGACCAAAATTGATGTGAGAAGAGGAGTATTACATTAGAGTGCCAAAAAGCCAAAGCATAGGGAATAAACCAAGATATTAAGGACCTGAACAGAAGATTTCAAAGGCAGCACAAGAAGACAAAAGCAAAGTATTATAATTATGCTCAGAATACATCCACAAGGTTGAGATGGCTGATTGTTTTGCATCTTTGTACATGTGAGGGACTAGAGAGCATTATGCTAACTGAATTAACTCCGTCTCATAAAGATGGATATTGTGTAAGAACATTATTGTAGAATGAGTACAAGGATCTAGGAAGAGGGAAGTCTCCTTAATCATAGGGTCACACAATCTGATGGGTGGATAAAGGAAAGGGGAAAGTTCTGGTGTGAAAAACAATGTATACAAACTTTATGAACTTTGTATAATAACAGAAGATAATAAAAAATAAAGAGTATTATAATGAAATGTGCAAGAGCTGGAGTTGAAAAATCAAAAGGGAAGAACTCACTCAGCATTTCTTAAGCTGAAAGAACTGAAGAATAAATTTAAACCTCAAGCTGCAATACTTAAGGATGTTATGGGCAGAATATTAAATGATCCAGGAAGCATGAAAGAAGATGGAAGGAGTATACAAAGACACTATACCAAAAATAATTGGCTGACAAGAGATTCATTTAATCCAGAGGCACTGGTGATGGAGGAAGAAGTTCCAGCAGTTCTGAAGGAAGTGGCCAAAAACCAAGGTCCTAGGATTTGACAGCGTACCAATCGATATATTTCAACAAACAAATGCGGCCCTGAATGCACTCATCAGGTTATGTCAAGAAATCTGCAGGACAACACCTGGCCAACTGACTGGATTCCTATTCCCAAAAAGGTGACCCGATAGTGTGGAAATTATTTAACATTATCATTAATATCACATGCAAGCAAGATCCTGCTGAAAATTATCCAAAAACGACTGGAACAGCACATCAACAGAGAACTGCCAGAACTGCAAGCTGGTTTAGAAGAGGGCATGGCACAAGGAACATTACAGCCAATTTTAGACGGATCTTGGCAGAAAGCAGAGTACCAGAAGAACATCTATCCGTGTTTCATTGACTATGCAAAGGTATTTGACTGTGTGGATCACAATAAGCTGTGGCTAACTGAGAAGAATAGGAATCCCAGAACACTAGATTGGTGCTTATGTGAAACCTACACTTATACCAGGAGGCAATTGTCAGAACAGAGCAAGGGAACACCACATGGTTCACAATCAGAAAAGGTGTATGCCAGGGATGCATCTCATCTCCATACCTTTTCAATCTATATGCAGTACAGATCATCCTGGAGACTGGGCTCTATGAGGCGGAATGTGGCATCACTCATTAACAACCTGTGTTATATAGATGACACAACCTTGCTAGCCTAAACTGAGGAGGACTTGGTCTATTTGCTGCACAAGGTTAAGGACTGCAGCTTTCAATATGGATTGAAGCTCAACATCAAGAAAACAAAGACTCTCACCACTGGGACAATTGGCAGCAGCATAATAAATGGTGAAGAAATTAAGATTGTTAACATCTTCAATTTGCTTGGCTCCACAACAAACACTCTTGGTACCAGCAACCAGGAAATCAAAAGAAATTGCACTAGGAAAATCCATCAGGGACATCACCAGAGTACTGAAGAGCAAAGATGTCAGTCTGGAGACTAAGGTGTGCCTGATCCAAGCCATGGTGTTCACAATTACTTGCTATACATTAAAGAGCAGGACAATGACCAAAGATGACAGAAGAATTGATGACTTTGACTTGTGTTACTGAAGAAGAGTACTGAATATACCATTGACTGCTAAGAGAACAACGGGTTCATCCTGGGAGGATAAAACCAGGATGCTACTTGGTTTTGCCAAGGATTTTGAGGCTTCATCTGACATTCTTTGGGCATGTTTCCAGGAAGGACCAGTCATGCTTGGAAGGGTCAAAGGACAAGGTGAGAGAGGAAGACCCGGGATGAGATGGATTGATTCAATGACTGTGGTAATGAGGGTAGGTGTATCAGAGACAATGATACTGGTTTAAGATAGAGCAGGGTTCAGAGCTATTGTACACAGGGTCACCATGAGTTGCAGGTGACTCAATGGCATTAAACAATAACAATAATACATGAGGAGCTCTGGTGGATTCTTTTTGTTGTTATTTGCCATTGATTCAACCACGACTCATAGAGACCCTAAGCACAATAGTTCTAAACCCAGCTCTATCCTGGGCCAATCTCACTGTCCCTGACACACCTACTCTCATCACCCTGGTCACTGTGTCAATCCATCTCATCCAGGGCCTTCCTCTCCTGCACTGTCCCTCCAATCCTTCTAAGCATGATGTCCTTCTCCAAGGACTAGTCCCTTCACTAGTATGTGAAATGGAACCTAAAAATCCTTTTCTCCAAGGAACAGCCTGTCTTCACCTTCTCCATAACAGACGTGTTAGTCCTCCTGGCAGTCAATAGTATATTAGATACTCTTCTCTAGCATCACAACTCGGTCAAGGACTGCAGCCTTCAGTATGGACTGAGGCTCAATGTCAAGAAGACAAAGATTCTCACCACTGGACCAATTGGCAGCATCAGGATGGATGGCGAAGAGATTGAGATTGTTCACAGCTTCAGTTTGCTCGGCTCCACAGTCAACACTCTTGACACCAGCAGTCAGGAAATCAAAAAGCGTATCGTGATGGGAAAGTCTGCTGTTAGGGACCTCTCTAAAGTACTCAGGAGCAACGGTGTCTCTCTGGAGACTAAGGTGCGCCTGATATAGGCTATGGTCTTTGCAATCGTTTGTTATGCATCAGAGAGTTGGACAATGACTAGGGAGGACAGAAGGAGAGTTGATGCCTTTGAGCTGTGGTGCTGGAGAAGAGTACTGAATGTACCATGGACTGCCAGGAAAACAAACAGATTCATCTTGGAGAGGATTAAACCAAGCTATTCCTTGTAGGCAAGGATTCTGGGACTTCATCTGACATATTTTGGACATGTTGCCAGAAGGGACGGGTCCTTGGAGAGGGACATCATGCTTGGGAGGGTAGAGGGACAGCGCAGGAGGGGAAGACCCTCTCTGATATGGATTGATTCAGTGACTGGGGTAATTGGGATGGGTGTGTCAGGGGCAGTGCGGTTGGCGCAGGATAGAGCAGGGTTTAGGGCTGTTGTGCACAGGGTCGCTATGAGTCGCAAACGACTCGACGGCACATAACAACAACAACAACAGCACCACAACTCAAAGACATCAAATCTTCTTCTGCCCTGTTTGGTCAATGTCCAGCTCTGTGATGCATGCATACCAGGTAACTGTGAAGCCCATGGCGTGGATTAGTCACATCTTAGTCTCCTGACTGACAACATTGCTTTTATTCTGGAGAGGTCCCTGACAGAAATTTTCCTGATGCAATTTGTCTTTTGATTTCCTGACTGCTAGTGTCAAGGTAAGGAATTTCCCGGCCAACCCAAAGCAGGCAGTTGGAATATATAAGCTGCTTTGAAGATGAAAGGTGAGCAATCTTTCTCATGTGGGATGTACTGTCTCTAATAAACCTGCTGGAGGGTCAGCTATGAATCAGCTCCAACTTGGTGGTACATGACAACATACATATTACACTATTTTTGTCTACTTAACTGAAAAAAATTAATCAACTGCTTATATGTAAATTGCTATTCTTTTGAAAAATGGATTTTTTAATCTTAAAATCACTAACTACTCTTAAAAATTCTGAAAAACAAAGGGGAAAAGAGAAATATAATGCCAACCAGTTGCAAAGATAATAATAATATCTATTATTATACATATTATATAAAACAAATATACTACTAAAGATGAAAATGTCTTAAGTTTCATTATACTCCAATCAGCTCTGACAATGTTAACAGAATTCTTGTAAGAAACATATATCAGACTGGAAATTTCCCTATTTACAGCCTTCAATTACTTCTCAATATCTAAAGGACAACATTCATGCTTCTCAGTTTAGATGTCTACACTGGGTTCCTTCCTACTTCTCTCACCCTATTTGCCATACACACATGCCAACCCATCCCATATTATTCAGTCAAATACAACTATGGGAGATTATTTAAATTTGAGATGTGTTATGTGAGTCTACCTTTGCCTGAAATGTCTTTTCTGAACAGTTATATGCCTACCCTTCCACTATCTGAGTGGAATCTTCAATTCTGAGGATTTCTCTGATTACTATGGACGGAGATGAACATAGCTACTTTTGCACCTCTACCACTCACTATAAAAATCCTGTTGTAGCAAGTATAACACAGCATGAGAATTTTTCTCCACATGTTTATATAGTAATATATACAATTATTTGAGGGCCAGTTTTATGTTTTATTTATATATCCTGAGAACTCAGAATCATTCTCGGCACATAGAAAGCACTAAAAAATGTTTGTAAATTAACAACAGTGAAGGAAACATACCTCTACTGGTCTCACCCACGCCAGAGAACAGGGAATAGCCTGTGCAGGAAGCTTTGTATAGCAGCATCTGTAACAGATAATCCAATGTACAAGCATTAAGAGATATTTTACGCTTATTCTACAGAATAGCAAATTTTTATTTCAGTTATTCCATTTTCTTAATTAAGAGGTGGGAGCTTAGTTTCATGGTTCATCCAAATTCAGTCATGTTAAAAAAATATTTTCTTCCTAAAAATAAGATATTATAATCTGTCTTGATTATAAATGAATCTAATGGTCATTTTCCAAGTTTGCACTGAAAAGAAAGAAGGATGAAGGGAGGGAGGGAGGACAAGAAAAGAGAGGCCTCAAGGCCATAAAGCTTAAGTACTATGATTCAAACTTTTTATTGTCCATGATGCTTATTAAAATTTTTAACTCACTTGAGAAACCTCAGGGAGGACTTCTGGACAGTTCCAACATTTCCAAAATCTGGATAAAACACTTCAACTTCCTGTTTGCCAAGTATTCGATGGATAATGACCCGATACCACCACTTATCCTCAGAAATTCTTACACAACAGAGATGTCCTGGTTGAATGAAATATTCTGGCATAATGTATCGATCAGAAACCATCTGATTAGAATAACAGCGCCTGTGAGAGTCCATAAAATCCACAGAGGAAGGAAAATTAAAGAGAATTTTTATTGAGGCCTCACAGAAAGAAAATCTTGGCAAAGAATGATGAAAAAATCCTGATTAATCTTTCCTGATTAATTAATGCTTATTAATTAAAATTAATTTTATTATCAAAAAACATCTTCAAAGATACATTTACACACTAATTTTTTTTAATCTAGCATTCTCTGTTGGACAAAGCACAACTTGACTTTATTTGCTAGCATTTCCTGAAATGCACTAAGACATCAAGGGCCTGTTATTTACAACAGTCTCTCTTCTCACCTTTAAATATACTTTGACCCTGATTGTGTTCTCCTCTGAAGTCTGTCCTACCTTAGTTGTCGAGATTTATTTCCCTTCTACCCCCTCACCATCTTCTTTAATTGGTTCTGTAATTCCTGTAGAGATGCTGGCTTTCTGGGATGTCATCTTTACGAAGTAAAGCATAAAGAGCTCTGTCTTTGGAACCAATAACCCCTGGGTTCAAATCCTGACTCCATTATTTATCAGTTTATGACTTTAGGAAGACTACATCATTTTTTCTATGCCTCAGGTTCCTTTTAAGTAAAATGGAGATAGTAAAATCTACCTTAGACAGTTGCTGTAAAGTTCAATTAGTTAAGAGTATATGGAAGTGTAAGATAGTGTCAAAATATAGTAAACATGAGAATATTAGCTATTTATTCTTATTCTTGCTGTACACTATGTCTTATCCACTTTCATGGCTTATACCACAACTGGAAAATTGATGATTTCCAAACTCTGTTTCTACATCTTGCATTCATTATGAGCTTCCAACCATATGAAAAGGATGACAACTGTAACCCAGTATCCATTCTCTTTTTCCAAGTAACAGAGTCTTCCATTTTAAACTGAAATTATGGCCATTTAGATACCCTAGTGTCCCTTGCATCTAGATGGGCTAACGTAAATAAGTTCTGGTCAATGTGCTTGTTGTTTTGTGCTATTGAGTTGCTTGCAACTTATAGCAACCCAACATACAACAGCTCTGAAGCCTGTCCTATGCTGAGCCTGTCTCACTGTCTCCAACACACTTACCCCTTTTACCCCAGTTACTGAACCAACATACAACAGCTCTGAAGCCTGTCCTATGCTGAGCTTGTCTCACTGTCTCCAACACACTTACCCCTTTTACCCCAGTTACTGTGTCAATCTGTCATCTGGAGTCTTCCTCTCCTGTGCTGTCCCTCCACTCTTTCAAGCATGATGTCCTCCTCCAAAGACTGGTCCCTCCCGGCAACATATCCAAACTACGTGAGATGGAGCTTCAGAATCCTTGCCTTCAAGGGGCAACTTAGTTATACCCTCTCTAGGACAGACCTATTTGTTCTCTTGGCAGTCCATGGTACATTCAATACTCTAGCACTATAATTCAAAGGCACTGATTCTTCTTCCATCATCCTTCATCATTGTCCTGCTCTCTGATGCATAGCAGGTATTTGCGAAGATCATGGCCTGATTCAGACACACCTTAGTCTCTATACTGCCATCATTGCTCTTTAGCACTCCGGGGAGGCCCTTGATAGCAGATTTACCTAATGCAGTTAATCTTTTGATTTCTTGACTGCTGGTGCCAAGAATGTTGATTGTGGAACCAAGCAAGCTGAATGTGAACAATCTCAATCTCTTCTCCATCTGTCATGGTGCTACCGATTGGTCCAGTGGTGAGAATCTTTGCTTTGGTTGTTTTTGTTGTATACCATCAAACCAGATCTGACTGGCACAGGAGATTGTCCTTCCTTCTCCAGCGGAGCATCTGGTGGATTCAAACCATGTGCCTTCGGATTGCAGCAGATCTTCTTGCCACTAGGCCACCAGAGCTCCCCAAAGAATCTTTGTCTTCTTGATGCTGAACTTCAATCCATATTGAAGACTACAGTCCTTGACATTATATAGCAAATGTATCAGGTCCTACTCAATTTCAGCTAGCAAGGTTGTGCCATCTATATAACGCAGGTTGTTGATCAGTCTTCTTTTGAACTTGATGTCACATTCCTCCTCATAAAACCCAGCCTCCCAAATAATCTTTTCCCCATATAGATAGAAAAGATATGGAGATAGGATGTATCTCTGACACACTCATTTGTTTTGAACCATGTAGTGTTTCCTTGTTCTGGTCTTATGACTGCCTCCTGATACAAGTGTACGTTTTGCATGAGCAAACAGTACCTTTTGCATGAGCTTAACTTAATGCTATTATTATCTCCTTTCCATTGCCAATCTCAAGGTCACTTATTTTTTTATATAATCAATGAACTATGCTTTCCAAATGGCCAATGAATAATGTTATATTATCATACATGGATGAAAGATCCATTCAAGGCTGGCCTTATTTGAGACCATGCTTGGAAGGGTGGTATGCTTAATTGAGCACTTTATTATTTCTGTCTTGAATTTCTTATTTTTTTTAAACAAGAAATTCCACACTTTTATTTTGTACAGGGACCTGTAATTATGTAGCCAGTCCTGGACTCATTGAAAGCACAAAAACAGACCAATAAATTATAGAATAATGATGTATCAGAAGTTCAAATTATACATTGCAACTTATCTTTAAGAAATCACAATCACTTATCAAGTTGACTATTAAATAAAAAAAAAAACCTCACAAATTTGTGTAAGGGCTACGATAATACTCCAACTACATCATTTTTTGAGGTTAAGTCTTTTTATATGTGACACCCAAAACAACATATCTTAAATGATTAAACACAGACTCAGATATAACAATTCCACTCTTTTCTATCAAGCCAAACATTAAAGAGATCTGAAATATTAAGATATCAAACTTTAGAAATATCTAAAACTTTTTCTCAAAAACCACAAATTCAAGGACTAAATATTTAAGATCCCTATTAGAAATATCTAAAACTTTCCTCCTTTGGGTAAAATAATGTTATTCTTCAAAAAATAAGTGTTATTTAACATTTCAAACCTTATGACAATGTTTCTCAAAGTATAATAATGTTATTTATTATCTCTGAATAAAAAGTATCCTTAAAATTTTAGTTTTAATTTTTAAAGAATATTGATAAGCAAAAGATTTTTGAGGAGAGTTTTAAATTTTTTTTTTTTTTAGTTTTAAATTTTTAAGAGTGCCAAGGCCAAAATGTTTGAGAACTGCTGGTTTAGTGTGAAATACATGAATGCACTGAAGAAAACAAACTCTTACCGCATTTCAATCATCATATCTTCAAGTAACTCTGATGAATCCCTGCTATAGATTCGGATATAGAACTGACTAGGAGAGATAATATACTCCACAAAGACTCCCACAAGGGTACTAGTGTCTAATGGTGGTAGTCTGAACAATTTCTTGTCCCGAACAGCATCTGGTGGGATGTCATGATTTACCACTGGCAGGCTGAGCTGTGATTTATTTATTCCTACTTGCTGCAGAGTAAAAAAAAAAATCACTATAAATTTTTGAGTAACATTCAAATCCCCTAACAATGTTTCTCAAAGTGTATTCAATAAATCACCTTTCTCAGAATCACTTGGAAAGTAAAACAATGCAGATTCTTAAATTCTAGCCCAGACTCATTGACTCAGAATACCTGCAAGTGGGGCCTATAATGGTGCATTTTGAAAACTCTCCAGGTGAGTCTTACCTATGTTAAAATATGAAAATTACTGCCCTATCAGCTGAACTAACGGTGTGTCAAACAGCTCAGTATTTCAAAAATTCAGGTTGAATTAAGAGGGATTTCGACCAAATCCTACCAACTAAAGGTTACCTTAAGGAATGGATTACATTCTAGACTGCAAATAATTGTTGTTGTTATGTGTCATCAAGCTGCTTGCATCTTCTTTAGTATCAAATAAAAAACAGAGTTTCTTAAATACTGTCTCTTTAAAATATTTCCCTCTTTGCATTGTATTGTCCTCTAGAAAACAGTATGGTAGCCAAGCAAAAAATTTAACTTATCTAACAAAAACCAGATACAGAAGGCAGAAAGAAAGATTAGTGATTATTTGCTTAGAAACAAAGTAAATACTAGAAAATGAGGACACAGAGGGACACGTGTGTGGGGAATTAATGAAGGAGGAGGAGAAAAAAGAAAGAAAGCTGTTGAGCCACACAGCCAAGACAGCTCATCAATTCATTCCTTAAAGCCCTCAAGGTCTTTCAAAGCTCCATGCTGAAATTGAAAGCTATGGAATCAGCAGTGTAATCGCAAGAGAAGGACCAAGTCTACTAAACCATCTGACAATCTGAAAATGAGTTGAGGGAAATCTAATTATATGAAAGATGATAAACCAGAAAAAAAATGCTGTATAAGGTGACTTTAGACAGATGATCCAGTCCCTTGTAAAAAAATGTTACGTCTAGAAATTTCTTTCCTCAGAAGAATTCTGGTTTAAAGGCACATTTATCCCGTCATTTCATGCTACTCAATCTACAGTTAGGTTATAAACATCACTCACCAGCTGTAAAGGCTTGACCACAAGATTAGGTTTCTTGTAAATCTTCTGTTCTGGCTCTTTAACGTTTTTTGAAGGACTGTTCCATGTCATCTCCCTGACAGCAGCATTAGACAGTAAATTTCTAGGGGGACTGATATTGGCTTCTATTTTGTTACCTGTCTGAACTAAACAAAAAATCTTAAGTGATTAAACAGCTCTATTGGAAATGGCCCATAGAATGACATATATAAATATAAATGTGTGTGTGTGTATGTGTGTGTGTGTGTGTGTGTGTATTTTTACAACTGTTACTAAGACCAAGTGCCAAGCACTAAAGAGACAATAAGAGATACGACCTTTCTCATAGAACTTTGCATGGAGACACACAGAATGGAAGCTCTACATGAGAGTAAATCTTAAATTGTTTGTGTAGGAGTGGAGTGGGCGGGCATCATGGCTTGTTAAGACTTATTAAACTTCCTCATGTGGCTTTCTTTTTCAATATCATCCTGATATAATTTTTTTTTCCACTTAAGAATGGCATCCAGTGTTACTGTATGTCTCCTCTGTTAGTATAGTACAATGTATGTGATTCCATCATCTCTGTTGGCTTAGAGGTAAGGAAATGTGCTGCCAACCCAAGGGTACATGGTTCGGATCTATCGGCTGTTCCACAGGAGAAAGATGAGTAGTCTCCTTCCATGCAACTTATTACTGCCTCCGAAAACCTACTGGAGGGTCAGCTATGAGTTAGCTCCAACTCGACAGTATTCAACAATAAGTATGATGCTTTAATTCTCAAAGGAATTAAAGGAATCACATTATTGCACTCAAATTTCATATGCATGATGGCTCAAAGATCGAGATCTTAAAACAGACCCCAGATAGACTTATAAAACCCTAGTAACTCCTAGAGACATAAATTAGTAAGTCCAAAGATTTGTTATTGTTAGGTGCTGTTGAACTGACTGCAACACAGCACTCCTATGCAAAATAGATTGGAAGCTTGCCTGAGGTGTGCAAGCCTCAAAATTTCCATTGTGCTTAAGGCCACTGCTGGAGTCACTGTGTCAATCCATCTTACGTAGGGTCCTTCTCTCCTTCACTGCTTTTCTGAAGATAACATGTCCAGAGTGAGATAGTTTAATAAACCTTGCTCCTAAGAAGCACCCTACCTATATTTCTTCTAAAACACATTTGTCAGAGGTACAATATTTATCACTGCGTTATTTTCCTCAAGGTAAAAAGTAGAAAAAACCTACTTATTCATCATCTGAATAATTTGCCTGACTGAATAAATCATAATAAAAGAATTCTATGTGGTTTAAAAGAGGAAATAAACCTGAATCCCTCTCTCACTGCTATCAAGTCAAAACCAACCCATAGCTGACTCTCCACTGGGTTTTGGAGGCTGTCAATTGAACTAGGAGACACTGGCCATTTTTCTCCGGATTCGAACCAGCAGAGAGGCACAGACTTTGGGCTAACAATGTAACTCCCTATGGAGAGCTCCTTAAATGTATACACACTGACATATAAAAATATTCACATTATATGAAGAATAAAAATCAATGACTCCGTATATGTTCTAAATCTATTTCCTATGTAAACATACTAATGCTTATATACTGTTTGTTAGAAAAATTACACGTGACTCATAACTATGTTACAGAAAATTTTCAGAATGACATACTCTAAAAACTATAATACAGTTACTCTTGTATTATCAGAATAATCATAAATCAGTGTATAATAGGGTTTATACAGCTTTTTTTTAATTTCAAAAAATATCAGTCACATTTAGGTAGACACTGATTAAAGTCTGGAAGACTTGTTTATTGTTATGTGCCGTCAAGTCGTTTACGACTCATAGCGACCCTATGCACAACAGCCCTAAACCCTGCTCTATCCTGCACCAACCGCACTGCCCCTGACACACCCATCCCAATTACCCCAGTC